GTTCATCGAGCAGTCGACGGCGATGCTGTGTGCGAGCCTGCCCAGCCTGCGTCTGCTGCTCGTCAGCGTCTGGCCCCGACGTCGGTCTACGGTGTCGGAGAGCTTCTTCAGCAAGGACAGTCCGAAACATAGGTGGACTCGGTCTGTTGACAGACTGAGGCGACACAAGACGCAGATACGCAGAGACAGCGGCCCCGGGCCGCAGCACACGGGCGACGGCGTGCTTGTGACGACCACGGTGGAGGTCGATCGGCAGTCCTACGTGGCTCTCGACGTGCCGCCCTTCCCACCGCCTGCCTATTCTGGGCGTGGCAACAACACATAGCAGCAAGTCATGAGAAAGGGGAGAGTGGGACAGTATCTTTCAGGAATCTATGATGAGCCATGATGAGCCATGATGAAGGGTTATTGCTGGGGCATGTTGCTGCAAGTTTTCTGTGAGAGGAAAGCGACGCAAAGGCGAAGTACACGGCAGCATTGCCATTATTAGGCGGTTGGAGTTCGACGGGTGTCTGGCTACTCGAAAGGCGGCGCAACGAGTCATGAGGTAGTTCACACAGCGATGGGTTTAGTACATGAATCGAATACGGTATTTCCTTGTAGAGGTGGAAGCCATAGTGCATGTCCCAAAAGATACATCGAAAAGTCTGCCAATGCTCCAGCTGCAGTTTTCCAGGCCGTATTGCCGCCGAGGCCTTATGTCGTGATGATGTTTTCTTCGTGCAAACCTCTGGGCCTTTTGGTGGGCGGTGCTTCCGATGGGCCTTTCTGGTGCAGTGAACACCTGAATTTCGCCCGTCTCTCCTTCAATTACGTAGAGCTGCAGCCCCACTTCCCTGCTCGTGAGTGGTTCGCCAGGCGGTCTCTTTACCGCAATTCAATTCCAGTGACGAACCAGCGACAGACGGAAAATTAGTGGAAAGGGAAGTTGAAGACAACCTGATGCTAGCGACTGTCAGTGCTCCTCGGGCGCCATGACGCTGGCCTTGTGGGCGCTCGATTAAGATCGTACCTTGTATGCTGTGCGATGGGATGAATGGTGATTGACGAACCCCAAAAGCTCGCCATGTTCCGGCGGCAATGCGCGCGGAGCCCGTCCCGCGTTGCGCCAAGCCGGGCCAGATGCTTGGAGCCGCAGCCGTTTTTGGCCGTTCGCCTACCGGTACGACGGTGGCCGTTCTTTCTGAGTGCCGTCGGTCGGGAAGTCGAATGGGCCCCTGC